ATTTCCCGGGAAAATGTACATGAAGCACGCCTCTCCCCAGCGTCAAGCCTCTCAAGTCTTGCAAGTATTCTCTTCCAAGACGTTGCCAAAAAAGCATGGATTTTGCTTTTGCTTGGAGAAATATTATATCAAATTTGCCAAAAGGCTTACAACATTTTCTTGCTATGATTACCCCACTATGCCATAAAGGTTAATATTAATAATGGATTTTTTTATTTTTTAATAGAGATATTCACAAACGCATTAAAATGAGCTGACATGAATACAGTATTCTAATGCCTAATGGATTGAGCATTTTTAGATTTACCATTCACAAATATCTTCAAAAAGTGCATCAAAGTTGCAAAAGAGAAGATATGAATCTCTTTATTTTAGCAGAAGTATCTTTATCCAAGAAAGTGCTTCAAGTAAAGACGCAGCAAGCTCATAAATTTTTTGCCATATGTATAGGTTTGAGTCCATTTAATTTCGATCTCAATTAGAACAAATCACGAAACCAAGCCTCTGTGACTGTCACTTTTCAAAACAAAACAAAACAAAATAAATAAATAAAAAAAGGCTATGTCACTATCTATATATTGCATTGGCATTTGCACCTTCCTTTGATTTGCTGGAAATTGTTATATGATGAATGATATAATGTCAGTTGGGTGATCATCCACATATACAAAAAGTGCAGCCAAAGAGAAAATCTACCTACCATCACTAAATTAGAGAGAGAAAGAGACTCCATTATGGGATGGCTGAAATTGTCCATAGTGATTCATATACGATGAATGCAAGTGGTGAAATATATGACGCATGGAGTCACTCTCTTCTTTTTTTTATTATTATTTTGGATGGTAAAATAAACAAACAACTTTTTGTCCATGTCCGAGCTTAAATTCTTTTTTTTTCTTTTCGAGTTTAAATATAGTATACCATTAGGTTAGAGACTTTTTGATCAAATTAATTTCATAATTAAAAGGAAGATCATTTTCTACCCCCACCGATACAAACTTATCAACATCCTCTGTATATCAAAATTTCGAAAAAAAAAATATCCTGTGTATATCAGACATGCGTGTTGATAACATCACATAGCACTAAACCAACCCTTTTCTGCAACCTCCATGATTCATGCCCTCTTATCTCTAGTGGGGTTCAGTCATATTCATGGCATCCTACAAATGTTTTCTCTATTGTCAAAAAAAAAATTAATGTTACTGCACTTCCATTGATCATCACATTCCATTAATTATATTCTTCCTTAAAACATCATATAGGATTTGTCTGTAAACCTATAAAGAGCTAACTAAATCCGCACTAATTACATAGCTGGACCATGCCATGCATGTCATGGACCACATGCAGTAACTAAATCACATTAGTTATGTCATTATTTTTGTTTAATGGAACATATTATGCCCTGATAGGGATCACCAAGGGCTGGTCTTGGCATAATGATAAGATTGCTTCACTGTGATCTCTAGAAATCGGGTTTGAAACAGAAAACAAGTCTTGTTCAAAATAGAAAAAAGTCTTATTGAAACTTTCAAAAGTTAGGTTCGAAATAGAAAACAGCCTCGATCTCAGCATGCCACAACAATATTTTGAATAGCATAATTAGCATTAGATTATATATATCCATAAGTTATGGAAGATACACTTTAATTTGGCAACTAAACAAATCCTGCAACACGAAGTCGGGTAAAACTCGAACCCTCACTCCCGAGCGTTGCCCTAATAAATTATTTGTACTCAATAAATATCGAATCTTAAACTTGATACTTTACAAATACCTTTAAAATAAACTACTTCCTTATTCAAACTATGTGATGTTCATATTTTATTATTCATAGAGATCTATTTCTTTGTTTCAACCACTATATCTTATTGTTGCGCCAAAACTCGTCCATTTAATTTGGCAACCAAGCACAATCAGAGAACGATAAGTTGGGACATGTTTTCCAAACCCTAATGGGCACGTTACGTTAGAGGAATCTGAACAAGCCATTGATGTTAACACTCCAAGGAACCCTGGAAATAGTCAATGATGCACACATGTACTAGTCAAACTATAAAACCCAATCTATTGTTCACACTGGTCAACCACTAACACTATGTGTGTGTGTATATATATATATATATATATAAATGGCTTTAGTAGTACTACTGGCCCTACGGATCTTAACTGATCTTTCACTGTATCCATGAAGTCTCGTTGGTGTCTGGTGACCACCCACCATATTTAAGCTAGCTATGGCATAGGTGTATCATGGTTGTGATCATCACACCTATATAATATTATTTGTCATAAAATTAATTTATTAATATATTGAAGGGGGTAACTATAAATGCTTTAAAGTTTTTATCTAATAAACGTGAAAATTATGTTTTATGCAAGCTAAAATATTGTGAAAACGTGTTTATTTATGTTTTTTATTATTTTGATTGCATCTTATTAACCATCTATCAAAGGCCATTTAGTTCAATAATATAACATTCATTTTTTAATAGGAGGACATTTAGCCCAATAATATTACGTTTATTGGAGGAGAGGAATTTGAGGTCAAGTGTTGAAAAAAATATATAGTGGTCGAACAAGTATTCTCTCCTTTTTTTTTTTTTTTTTTTTTTTTGAAAAGTAATGCATGATTATTCAATTAACTAAAATTGCATATATATAACCTCCGCGTCATCTATGGTGTTAATTTATGTATGCATACTACACAATATATACATACTACACAATATATACATACTACAATTGACTTAGAAGTTAGAACTTATCTTCATCTTATTTTATATATCATACATAGCGACATACGTTAGAAGACAATATTGGGTTCAATATTTGTGATTCTGTAACAGAATAAAATACATAGCAACATAATCACCGAAATTAACAAACAAGGGAATATACACATAAATGGAAGATATATATATATATATATTCAATTGAAATATAAGTCAAAAGAGTAAGGCTGTCAAAAATTCTCCTATGACAAAATCAATGCGTTTTAGTAAAAGGTTAATTTGAAATTTTATATATTTTAAAATTATTTCAATTTAGTGGTTAATAAAGAGACCATGTGACTGTTCCCATTTTATTGAAATTACAAATTAGGATAACTTCAAAAGTTTAGATTGAATTAGGATTCAAAGAAGAAAAAAAATCAAATAATCACTCTACTATGAAAATATAATAATAGTATGTTTTGTGATGTGTGTGTGGCAGGTATATAGTACTATTCAATCAAATATAAAAATTGGGGTGTTTTATGAATTTAGAATAAATCTATGATGTTTTATCATTTTTAAATAATGAGGGTTAAACACAGTAGGAACATCGCTGTGCAAACTTTTTCATTGTATTCCAAATTTATAGATTTATAAGACAATGAAATGAACATATAGAATGACATAACAAGAAAACAACTGACACTTGACGATATAAATAAGTTGCATAATTAATTTTAACAACTTAATCTCCGTCACACACATAATTAATTTATTATATGTGTTGGACCAAAATAAATTTTAAAATAATTGCTGATCACTAGTATGTGTAACATTTTATTCGACTACCTATCTATCACCTACATTTTTTTTTTGGGTAAGTATCTATCACCTACATTATTAAATAATTATAATTGATTCACCTATTGAATCAACATTTAGTCACAAACTTCTAAATAGATGGTGATTAGTATATGTTAGAATTGTGTTTGAATAGTTCTCCAAGATACACACTCACACGCAAAGTTACATAATTCGTTCAAACCATTGATGCTTCATGGCTCTGCGCACGAATTGGCGTTTTAAGAGTGAATTCGTCAAAAATTCTCTCATGTTTTTTAATTCGCGAATTCAACTTAAAAATTCGTCGATTTTTAATATTTAATTCGACAAATTGTGTAAGGAAAAATCGCATTTTTTGTTCAAGAATTCGATAACTTTGGAAAATAAATTCACGGTTTTAATGTAAATCTTGAGAAATTTCAGTTTTAACCCCAACTTAAACGAACCAAATAAGATTAATTATGTCAAAAAGTAACCAATTTAATTTAATTAAGTAAACTATATCCTTTATAAGTCAAATAATATAATAATAGAGTTTAAATTTAATAATACTTACCTTCAATATTTATTAGTAAAGAAATAAAAGAAGAAATAACTTTTCATATTCTAAATCTCTGATTTCTCTTTACTATTAAGTGTAGGGTTCTTTTCCTTCCTTACATTCTGCTTTTTGGATATTTCATATGTATTTTAAAGTTTAGTAGTAGAATTTGCAAACTGAAATATTGTTGTCTTTTCCTTTTGCTTTTGAACATTTCTATTTCAAAAACAATGATTGTCATCTTGACGGCTTAAAGCAAGTTAAATGTATAAAAAGGAATGAAATTCATTATTATTATTATTATTATTTACTTTATGCAGTTATATATGCTTGGAAGTAAATTTTTATTTTTATTTTTTTCTATTATGCCCTATTCACTGTTATATTTTTAATTTTATAAAGTAACTTGTTTGATTGTCAAGTTTAATTAATTTATACATTTTTATAAAGCAGGTTATATTTATTGTAATGAACTCATATTTGATTCATTATTTTGTATTTTTATTTACATAAAATTTATTTAAAACATATATTTACTATTATAAATTAATATTTTATAAATTTATAATGCGACGCTCCCATTCTAAATTTTTTTAAGATATGCTGCTCTCGCTTCCACTCTGTGACTCAATTCACACGCCTATATTTGTTTGACTAAGTATTACTAGCCAGTTTCAAAAGGTCATGCGAGTAGAGTAGATCAATGAGGAGATCATGACTCATGTCTTGCATTAACTTGTAAGCCCGCATTAACCACAAACAAAAAAAATCAAACAGTGTGGGGTCTAAAGTTCCATGAGGTCCTTTTGTAATATTGAAACATTCTAAGGGTACTATCCTGGCCATTTCATAATAAATACACCACATTTGTAAACCTCGCTAAGAATTAAAAAACCAGCACATCTTCTCTTCATACACTTGACATCTTTCTTCAGTCTTCACTAAGCTATGGGGAACTGCTTAGTTGTGGAAGAAAATATGATAAAGGTCATGAAAGCAGATGGGGAAGTGCTCGAATACGAAGCACCCATCAAAGTCCACCAAGTGTTGTCAGAATTCTCCGGCCATACCATATCTGACACACTTCCGGTTGTCCGGCGTCTCCGGCTAGACTCCGAACTTGTTGGTGGTCACTTGTACTACCTTCTGCCTGCACCACTGGAAGTTGACAATAAGAAGGTGTTGAGATTTTCAAATCCGGTGGTGGAAGCCGCCGGACAAGCAGGGACGGGAGGAGTTGTGAGGATAAAGATGGTGATCAGTAAGCAAGAGCTGGAGGCGATGTTGAGAAAAGGAGGAGCTTTGAGCAGTAATGACATGGTTTCTCAGCTTTTGAAGAAACAGAGTAGTACTAATGACATGGTTGATCATGATTTTGATGGTGATGATGGAAATGAAAACTGTAGAGGATGGAAGCCTGCTTTAGAAAGCATACCTGAAGTAAACTAGCTAGTAGTTCTTGTTTCTCTCTCTTTTTTTGTAGTTTGATATACAAATTAATATAGATATATATATATATATAGCATGCAAATCAATGATCAAAAGGGATACTTGTTTCAATCAAACAGTAAGGTTTTGCTTAATCACCCACCACTACCAGGCCTCTTGGCCGGCTTAGATTGTAAGACTTCCACCTCTCTAAAGGAGGCAGATAATTCAAGCTTAAGTGAGATTGCATGATTGTGTTAATTACTTAACAAATCAATATTATAGACACACATATATATGCATCTAATAGCTTTGAATAGTAGTATAATAATCGCATGGAAACTCGACGCTTGCTAGGTAAATAAAAAAAATTGTAAAAAATAAAAATAAAATAATGATAATAATAACCTGCTTGGTTAAGAATTATTGTATGAAAACTTAGTTAATTTTTTTAATTTTTAGAGTTCTATCTTTTAAAATATATATATATTTTTTAAATTTTTAATAATTATTTTCTAAATTATAAACCAACAAGTCCTTAACCTCTTATATTCAATTTATGTGACTTATAATGTATATATCTGAATGGTTGAATTAGTCCAGCCCATTCCTTTTAAGAACAAGGACACCTCTGTTATTCTTTTGGTGAAGAAAAGATTTATTGTTATAATATATATATATATATATATATATATATATATATATATATTACCTTCGTAATCATCAAAGTGATGGTAGTGGACATAGTGCTTTTACTGCTCGTACCGGCATTCTGACAATATTAAATGCCATCTCCCACCCACAGTGCAGAAAACACATTATCTCATAAACGTTTTGGGATTGATGATTATTTAACCAAAAAAAAAAGATTTACCCAAAAATAAAAAATAAAAATGACAAATTAAGTGAAATATTTAAAACTTTTGTGTGCTTGAGTTATGTTGTGATAATGGATTATTATTAATTTTTTTTTATCATAGGATTAAAATGAAACGGAGAACCAAACAATTTCTCATATGTTAGAATCATAATCGGCCTCTCAAATTTTTGTTTGGAAGAGGGAAATATTAAAATTCCGCCTTTGGCTTTTATCAATTTTTACTTTCGAACTGTATTTCTGACTTGAATGGTGCGTGTGTGTTACGAAGCCGATACAAATATTTTTAAAAAAAAAAAGAAAAAAAAAAATTAAGAACCCACACTTTTGTGTAACTATTGAAAAATTAGGCATGTTTCCAGTTGATCTCAAAGCACTTACTATCAATTATAACCAAACAGTAGGACTAATACTATAAATTACTCTAACGATAGAGATAAGATGAAAAATTTGTACACCTGGAGAAGAAGAAGGTAAAAAACAGAGAAAATATAAAAAGTAAAGAAATTTAAAATAATTTGACTCATTGGTGTGATTCGCTATAAATTTGATTCGGAATTTTAAGTATGTAATTTATATATAATCTTCTTTTAAATAATTAAATTTGTACATTATTATAACAAAAAGACATAAAATTCGTTCTCCTCTTTTCTCCAATTACACTACACTTATTTTTTTCTTTTAAAAAAAATAACAAGAAGGTCCTTCAATTCATTTATGCACTATACCTTATTCTATAATGCCATAACTATCTTTTATTCAAATTAAATTTTTTTTTTTACCTACTTTCTTTTCGGTGGTCCTCTCAAAAAGATAATTTATTCCACACTGATAATTTTATTTGTGATTGTCAAAAGAGATAATTTATTGGTGACTTTTTTTTTTTGGTGCAATCATAACAAATAATTTATTCAACAAAGTTGACATTTTTTTTTTCAGTCCTGTCAAAAGAGGTAACTTTTTTTTTTTGTGTGATTTTTTATGGTCCCATCAAAAGTAATAATTCATTCAATAAAATATATATATATTTATGGTATTATCAAAAAAGATAATTTATTCAATATATATATATATTGTTTTTAATCCGATTTTTTTGGTACTTTTTTTTTCTGTTGACAAAAGAGATAATTTCTTCAATAAATATATATTTTTTTGAGTCAAAAGAGATAATTATTTTAATTGTTACTTTTTTATTGGTCAGGTCAAAAGAAACAATTATTCAACATAATTTTTTTTTTTTTGGTTAAACATAAAAAAGTTTCTTTGTTCCTGGAAACAAAATATTATTTAATTTATTTTTTTTTTTATCTTGCCAAAAGAGACCTAAAATATTAAAAATTAAAGATAAGGAGAGAAAATCTGAAAAGATATTTGTGCCATTTAAAGTAATAATTTTTATCTGTAAAATTAAGATTATAATTATTATTTCGTTTAAGGTTATAGTGCAAACAAAGAAAAGTAAAATTCCCAAAATGTCTAGAGACTACGAGGTGTGACCCATCCAAAATTTAGAATTAAAAATTTGTAATAAGGTATGTTAATCTGTGGCCTAATCTATTTGCTTAAGTGGAGACTTTTCGCTTCTACCAAGTGTGATGTGGTCAGAGCTAATAAACAAGTCAAGACGTCAACAACCCTTGCTAGTCAGTCCGGTGGTTTACGTACAAGTTCTATTTCTATATATAGGACAAATAAATTTCATAATAAGTTGCCTTTTTTGAAGGAAGAAAAATTAGAAAGAAGGATAAAGGAGGAAGAAATTTTTTTTTCTTTATTTGAAAGAAGGAGAAAGAGAAAATGAAAACGACTTGGAGCCACTAAATTCCATCTTCCCAGAAGTGAGGTTAAAAAAAAAAAAAAAAAAAAAAAAAAAAGAAATTAAATGTCTTAATTTTTCCCAATGAAATTGTTAGCATGACGACAAAAAAAAACTCTAGAGATTCATTGTAGAAGGGAAGAGGATCCCCTCCGGTTGGAAGGATACTGTGATGCATTCGGTGTACCAAACGTTACGGCACCATTTTGGTGAGTCAACGTGCAGCCCCAACACAGTTTCATGCTGGTGTGTTGGTGAACGTACCGAATGCACCACATGATTAGAGGGGATCCAAGTCCCTTTAGAAGAAGCCCATAGTTGTTTCATTTGAAGCTATAAGGGTGATCACTTCCAATAATAGTCACTTTTCTAGTACTAAAAATAGATGTCTAAAGCTGTACGGTATCAGGAGTGACTCGAATTTCAAGATTGCATCCTAAATTTGTATGTATGCCCAAGCTTATGACGACATTCCCCAACGGAGAAAAATAAAAAAAAATTATAGCCCCTTTTTTGGATGTTGAGTGGGAGATGTATAGTTCCATTTTGTAATTCCACTAAGCAAGCATAACTAAGTAAATAAGTTGCCCACTTTGAGAGACCTCATTGACTTATCATGATTTTGTTGAATCTTGAATCTTGATGCTATTTTAGTCACCAGTTCACACTCTTCCCCATCCTTGCTTTCCTATCTTAGCCAACGCCAATCGTGCAAGCAATACAAACTGGCCACTTAATAAGCCACTCTCACCCATAATTTCTTTTTTTCTTTTTTCTTTTTTCTTTTTTCTATTTACCTTGACAATAAAATATTTTTAAGTTTGCAAAAATTATACCCCATAATTTATTGATTAATTGATTGGAAAGACATCACTATTGTAGCACGTCCGTACTCCACTACTAATAGTGCTAAAATGTCTATATTACCCCCGATATAATATAATAATTCGTTTCAAAGTGGGGACAAAAAAGTAGTTACAACCCCATCCGACCTCCTTCCGATTGACGCTCTCCGTGATATTCATTCACACACACACACATATATACATACACGCATACATACATATAGACTTTCTGTTGAAATTATTTTATCCACAAAAATAGAAAAAAAAAATTATGACACTGAGAGGAGTACTCAATTAAAAATAATTGGGGGGGGGGGGGCAAAAATAATAGTCAAGTACAATATCCATCTTAATCCTTTTTTATTTTTTTTTGGGTCCACGAAGTTACACAAAAGGGAAGTTTGTAGATGCTAAATTGCTAAGGCCTCCTGCCGGAAATGCCAAGCTACAACATCTTCATAAGCCAAGTTGCCCCCAAAAATATCTAGGGCGCTGCCTACAGTAACATCAACACGTCCCATCCCTGCAACTTTTATCTTCTCCAAATCAGCCATTACTGTGACACCACCAGCATATGTCACCGGAATCTGACAGCCAAATCACAATGAATTTACAATTTGATCAAATTAGTGTGTATGCATATATGGCCATATATCAATGCCTAGTGACGTTATTGATTCCGTCACATCACAATATACAATGATCTTCACAGATAGCTGCAAACAATTGGATTCCATCTCTAATGGACGCCAAATAAAACATAGTTTGCAGCCATATGCAGGATCACAACTTTCATTTAAACCAACAAAATCATCATATAAGAATCGGCATTTATTGTCAAAATAAACATAATCCATGGCAGTGGAAGTATTTCCAACTCCAAGGTGCCGATTCGGTGCTCCCAAACGCGAAATTAGTGTATTTAGTGCATAAACCAAATGAAGAATGGTTTGGTTGAACGCATGTAACAACCTGTGCAATCTTATTTGGAGAAAAAAGAAATGAAATATAAGAGGGAGTAACAAGATCATCAAAAGGAACATCAACAATAATATGTTTACGTACCGGTGAGTGCCTGCCAAGCAATGCCACAAGCTCTTCGTCAATTCCAAGCCTGAATAAACAGATAGATAGTAGAAAACCAGGTCAACTTGATGATTTAAATGGAACCATTGAACTTTGTATAAATACAAATACAGTACACATAATATTACTTTCATTGGCAACTGAACTTCAGGAAGTGGGGGAAGCAAATCACATTTTGCTAATACAGGACACTAGAGTGCACTTCTAACATCCGAAAAAAGGTCCAATAAGTTGTACATGCAAGCTTCCAGATCAGATTTTAATCGCATAGCCTACACTTTAAAAGTTGCTCAAAAATTAATTGATATGTGTTGATGATGGTTAGTGAGTAGGATGAGGAGATCGCTCTACGTAAGCCAAGAAGTCTGAGATCAGTATCTAAGTGGAGATCCAAGCAACACAAGGGATTCCCTAGGTATGTGGATTAAGAAAGGAAAGGCTGACTTCAGTACCATGTGAGCTCGAGCTTATCAGAGAATAGCCATTAATGTGGTGGTTCTGTCTTAAAGGCTGATTAACACCCCTATTTATAGTGTTTACCTCCTCGGTCAATGTCTTTTGGTTCTTTAGCTGAGCCCGCTCTTACCCAAAGGTTTGATGGTCTCTTCTTCTGACGGATGAGACGTTGATGGATGGGCTGCGGCGCTTTGCCCCCCGGTCAAAGGAGGTAACGGCGCTTCCTAATTAATACGGGTCTTATCAAACGTCTTTCGCAATTAATGCGTTTCTTATCCTTCATTGCTCGAGCTTAGGTACCAAATATCCTTTCCCCTTTGTGTTGGCCTCGGGCTGAGGCGAGCCCTTGGATCTCAGCCACCTATCCACATGTCCTCAGATTCCCGTGCTTCGGTGGGGATAGGTCCCTTTCAAGGTCCTGCCTTCATGACCTCGCAGGGTCCTATCCCAATTTTATCCCGAGGTCATCTTTGCCGAGACGGGAAATATGTAAACAGGTTAGTCGAGGTCGCTCTTTCAGAGAGCGTCCTCGAACAAGCCAGGGGGGGGAGGAGCCCATCCGACTGGAGCGGGGAGCGTCCACAGTATAGGAAGGGTAGCGACCCCTTCCTCGGCCAGTGAGTTCAGTTATCGGATAGGTAGCTCGAGAATACCTAATCCATTATGGATACGCCAGCACTGGCCAATTGTGCCTATGTTGCAGAGGTGGCGCCACTTAATCAGCTATCGTGACGCGGTCATCAACAATATGGTTAGTATTTGGTATCAACTAGTTTGACTTCAAACAAGGTACTAATATTTTCTGCAATGATAAGCAATTGGGAAGCAGGGATGTCAGAACAACTGACAACAGTATGGCTGGCCCGGTATGTCTCATTGTGGCTGGAAGATTGTTGCAGATTTCTTAGATCAGGAGGCTTGTACGGCAACTCTCTCTAACTACTTAAATTTTCCTAAAATTATTTTAACAATCCATGTAACATTCAATGTAGCTAAAATCCAACTACGTGCAGAATCTTCCTCGAACTCCGAATCAATGTCCTTGTCTTCGTAATCTATTGCAATCTGTTTTCTAGTCGAAGGACCATTCTTTTATAATCACACGTGAAAAACCACATTTTTTTAGCGCTGAAGTGCTGAATTTTATTCCTGACCAAGATTGGTTCTCAGCCATTTCATCCTGTGCTTGCTAATAATTCTTCATTTACTTTTAAATAATTATGACACTTGTAAGTATATTAAACCTTCATTATTGTTCTTTTAACTGGTAAACAGCAAGAACTAACAAAACAACATAAAGAAGATCAATACAGAGAAAACTCAGAGAAGGGAAATGATCTCTTCCAAAGTCAAGGCACCCCCTCTTGGGAAAGACAATCTGCCACATTTGAATAAGCTATTGACTCTCAGAAAATTTCAAATAAAGATACTGTGGATGGAACCTTCAAAAGGTTGCCAGGAAAAAAAGAAAAAGAAAGAAAGAAAAAGACGGAACCTTAAAAGGTTGGATTCCGCAGAACAGAAAGAAGTGAAATGGTGAGCAAGGAGCATATTCTGACTGTTAATGTTTATGAGATAAAATATCCCAGTTATCAAAGATCATTGATGTCCAAGCTATCATAAATTATAAATGCTGAAAGCTACTAGACAATAAAACCTGAGAACAAAACCAACAAAATTCTAAAAACTCTGTGGGTAATAAGAAAAGAAATAAACTAAAGATTATTGTAGAACTTACTTTTTCCCTTCAACATCAACTCCATGGACCAGAAATTCATTGGCATAAATGGCAAGAAAATCCAATATTTTCTCATCAAGATATACATCACTGAACTTCTGCCATCTATCAGTGACAATGGCATATTTACCATCCTGCACATCGTTACTTGTGTCACCAACATACAAAATTTGGGCTAGTATATATTTTGTGTAAAATGGCATGTCAGATAATCATGAATCAACTCAGATTACAACAAAAACCTCACCTCAAAACCTTGCTAACCCATGCATAATGGAGTTCAACTAAGTTTTTTTTTTTTTTTTCTATATATATATTTTTTTTAAGAATGCAGATAAGATATGTAAATTGATTGAGTGCTTTTGCAATATACTAAAAAATTTCATTCAACTCTCAAATTGAATTGCCTTAAAATGTAGAAGTTTCAAGAAAGAGCAGCCGAATTTAACCTTTCCATATTATACCTTGCAAGAAAACCTATAATTCATATTGCTAGAGCAAATGTCCATACCTTCTTCCTGCAACTAAGATCCAAAATAAGCCTCTGTTTCCCAACAACACCAACAAGTTTTTTAAGCCTCCCAAGGTCCATTTGTCCATTATTGAATACATACTGCAGGTGAAATCAAGAAGAAATTTTACGATAATGAAAGTTTTCATAATAATCATTAGTTCATGAGGGTTATTCATTTAGAGTAAATCCAAATTCAAAGAAAATACGTTCTCATGCAACCTTATCTACAAAACAGATATATAAACTAAAATGTAGTCATGCCCAGAAATTTCTTTTAGAATTAAGTCTATCGTGGATTAGGAAATTCATTAAGTCCAATCCCCAAAAATCGAAAAAGAAAAACAAGAACATGCACAAACACACACAAAATAATAATAATACTAAAAAATTGGTATGTTATAAATGCAAGCACTGTTCGTGGATTGTAAAGTATATCACTAAGAAGAATCTACAGGGAAAAAGTGATGTCCAGACGTAAGACGCCTTCCCTCCCCTCTCAAAGGTCATTTTAATTTTCCTCCATCTATTTGTCCACACCAATAAGGCAAAAGCCGAGCATGCAAAAACTAATCAAGCTTCTAGTTTAGGGTAGCTCTCGCTCTCCAATTATAGCTTTCACACATATTTAATAGAGCAATTACAGATTTACAGGTTTTACACTCTGAAGCTACTCTACTGTCAATTTGATCTGTGAGATGGAATACAACTAATCTGAGGACAGCAAGTTATATACCACCATGCACACAAATGGATTCCATAAAGAAACTATAGAGGATGCTTACTATACCATATTCTGGGAGCACAGGGTATCCCTGGTACAGTCAACAAGCCATAGATCAGTTGGCATAAAACCTCTATCCTGATTTGATTTATAAAAGTAGTTCCATCACTAAATAGTCAGCCCACCTGGCTGTCTCATCACTTGAGAATAATATTGCATATTCGTGATGTAAAAACACATAAAACTAGGCAATGATGACTTAGTAGCTCTTTGTATCCCAATTTTATGGTTGTATATTGAACATAAAATACAAGTGAGAGAAAGAAAGAAAATTTTAAATGGTAATAAAAAAATATTGCATTACATTGCATAAAAAATGTATCTCTCCAACAAATGATTATTAGAAACATACTGATGTGATAATGACGTGGCTGGCTCCTTCCTCTATGTAACTCAAAGCATTTTCCGAATTGACGCCACCTCCAACTTGCAAACCACCTAGATGTTGCCAGACCTCACAGTAAGTTCAGCAGAGGAAAAATCTGTAAGTTCAGACATATTATCAACCAAAGAGTTTAAACTTTAAAGTGATAGCCACACTCTGAATGCACCAACTCTTTCTGTTAGCAATATAGGTTGCAGAATATAACTTGAAATTCATATCCATTCAAAATTAATTTTAAGCACGAATAACATAAAAGAAACCCAAGAAAGAGCTTCATTCCCCGAGAATATAAGTAGGGTCTTCTGCATAATACCAGAGACTATGCAAGCACAATTACAATAAAAAATGCAAACTTAAGTGTGAAGTACTTGATTTATTAGCCTAAAAATATATTCCTCAAAGAATCAATAACTAATTAAATTTACAAATAAGTAAATTTACCGCTACTTCCAAATTATAATAAAAGGTATTTTTCCAATTCCATGGGCATTATCATATAGAGATAAAACAATCCCAAGCCACTTCAAAAATTAGTTGCCATCACATAAATAATTATATAGAATTCCTATCAAAATCCCACAAGTTTCAAGTTCAAACCAATAAAATATTCAAATATATATTTATATATTGACAAATGGCCTGTAAGAAAGTGACAAATGGCCAACAAAATATGAAAATATACTTCTCTACTAACTTAAAACCATATACTTCTAATTGTCAACTCATTGCAGATCACATTGCATTTTATGAATAACAAGAATAACCAAATGAAAATACTTTAATTTTTTGTTATTACAGTTTGTTCCCTATTTGTAGCAGCTGGCATCTAAGCCAATCTATTATATCAGTATATATATAAACCTATGGGCAAATACTTATCAAAAATATATACATAAACCTAAAGGGAAAATGTTTCAGAAGTAAACAGATTTTGCCAGCAAAAAACAGCAACGACTGGCATACCAGGATAAGCACGTAATGCCTCAATGGCTGCAGATTTGCTCAAAGGATCAGCACCAATCATGATTACATGACCACCTGTAAGTCCATCTTCTTTGTACAGATTTGCATACTCCGCCGCTGATTTATCTGATTCAAAATTGGTCACTGCAGTTGACCCACCGTCCTTCAAATCCCAAAGGGTAGACCCAACAATTTGCTTCACTTTCCCCTGAAAAATCAATTATACATTTCAAACAAGAAAATCAAAGCAATAATTGTAGTGGCTACCAGAAGTAAAAGATTAAAAGTTTGCCACCAAACAGCTTACATCACTTCCCAAGCAATGCAATACTTAACTACTAAATAGAATTAATGTAACCATGAAAACAAACATCCTTAAGTTTGTAAACAAAAACTTTAATTCAATTGGCCGCAATGAGTTTCTTTCACCCACAATTGAGATCAAGTTTCAAAAATAATTACAACCACCCAACAAATGAAGAGTTTAAGGGCATATAGCCAAAATGAAATTTATTATCAACTTTATGAAAACCCATATTTCAGGCACAACCCAAAAGTCTCATGTTCGGCATAGCTGTCCACAAACTGGACAGAATATCAAGAGTACTGTATTTGCATGCCTGCCCCTACCTTCGATCAAAATAATAAATAAATAATTGAAAGGTGCAAACCCGACGCCTTAAACCTCAAGTGTCAAGACCTAAGATTTAAGTTAAGCAACTATTCAAGTAGATTTCTTTGAACTGACCATATATCAGTTTCAAAAATTTGAATCATCAAACAAGCAAGTACTTCACATTAAACTGAACCAGATATTCCAAAGAAATAAATGAATAACCCACACTCTCATACATAAATTGACACATTAAATTTAAAACTTGTGAAGACCAACCTTGTGTATGTCAATGCAAGGACGAAATCTAACTCCACATCGGATAGACAGCCCTTGAGGTCCTGCGCTCCAAGTTTCAAGATTTCAATCACACGACACACACACACACACACATATATATAAACAAAGAAACAGATGAGATGGAGGTATAAACAAACATACTGTAGATCGGCATAATGGTGGTAATGAATTTGAGTCGCTTGTTGGTAGCATTGGATGCAAAGTCTAGGGTTTTGAAGAGTGAATTGAGGTCTGAAGAAGTTGAAGTAATTCGTAGGTTGTGAATTCTCATTTTCTCGAGGTGGAATCACCAGTAGGAGTTGAAGGACTTGTTAGGGCTGTTTACTAACAGGAAGTGATTCTTGCTTCTGCCTTCTCCCAAATGTGATTTTAATTTATTGGAACTGAATCAAAAAGTAAAATCATGTTTAGTAATGCCTACTGCTTTCAACATTTTGAAAGTAAAATAACATAAGCAAATTCAATAATTTTGTTTTCTGAATTGGTGATTTTCTTAACCACATTTGGGAAGCTGCAGAGGTCAATCGCTCATTCATGGACCCGGAATTCAATCTACCTCATGTTGGTTCCGAACTTCCAGTGAATCAAACATCTGAGGTTAGCAATTATCAAATTTGCAAATTTTCTCGACAAAGTTCTGACAAATTCCAAGCAAAGAGGATTTGGGTTTGTTATCAATACAGGACCATGCATACAGGTAAATCTTCAATCAATAAGCAAAACCATAAATGATTCATCATGAATAAGGTCGAGAAATTGTTGAACAAACAACTTTCAAATCTGACAAGAGAGAGGATGAGAAAACTTACAGATTTATAGGATTTTGCCGCCGAGAGATACTGTTGGTGAGAGAGGAAGGAGAGAATGTTACTCGGCTAAAGAGAAAGGAAAGCATAAAGAGTTGTCGGAAGTGCTCTAAATGGATTGGCCCAAATCAAATTTCAAACCAAATATGAAGATCGGCCCTATGACCGAGGCCCAAATTTTGGCTGGATTCTAAACCTCAAAGGAAGAGAAATCAACCGACCTTTGTATTACTTTAATGCAACCATTGAATACCGTCCCTCGAGAAATAAATAATTATTCATTTTTGAAATAAACAAATTTTAAATTTAGATATAAACATAACAATTATTTCATGATAATTTATAACTTGTTGACTTCACAAATTATAACTATTTAGTTTTCAGTATTATTTATACTATATTAGTACATTAATAACACTTACTAGTAACACATTTAAGTTATTAACAATATGGAAGAGTGAGAAAAAAAAAAAAAAAAAAAAACACCGGTCAATTTTAAGCAATTTTTTTTTTTTATAAAAACCCTAAAATATCCTTAATATACAATTAAAAACTTAAATCAGTGTTTTTTATTTTTATTTTTATTTTTTTGTTTTAAAGGTATTTTAAGTATTTCAGTATTCAAATTGACAAAAATGTCCTTATTTATTCAATTTAGAAAATGTGGAGGGGGCCCGTATTATTGTTTAAGTTGAGGAAACAACTGTGTAATGATCATTGATGAAAGATTGTTCTTTTTTAATGTACTTGTGTAAGCATTTTTCTTCTTTTATGATGATATTGTAATGTTGTACCATGGACCTGCAAGCTAAAAAAAATCCACATTTAATTAAAAGAGGCAAATTACTTGGACTGCCAAGCTTTTACCCAAATGAATGGTACATTTGATAAATATATTCATTTTGAAAATTTTGAGGAAAATAATCCACAAGGCAGCTTATAGATTGAATGTCAATTAACCTCTTGGAACGAAAATAGTGTTGGACAATATCTGTAAGTAGGGTTAGTTTATGTAAAATCCTAGAAGATCCTATGAAAACACACTTGGTCATCATAGTACAAATCCACAGATAATACCTGAAGGAGGAAAAAAATAAATACTGAATGAAGCATTCTACAGGTTCCTTTGCCAATCTGAAATTGATGGATCATATTAAAAGCTGGGGTTTGTGCCTACAAAAACAACTCTGATTCATTTATGTGTTATGAAATTAGCAGACCTCTACAAATAAGAAAAAAAAAACCAACAACATTAAACCAATTTTGCATTGTAAATCTCCAGAAAAGTTCACTCATCATATGAAATATTTCACCATCTTAACTTCTTTCTCCTTGAAACCACATTTCTCGTAAAAAGCTCGGTTCTCAACACTGCAATCAAGGATCACCTTGTAACAACCCATTGAACAAGCATGATCCATGAGGAACCCAACAATTTTTTTCCCTAATTGCTTCCCCCGAGCACTGGAATCAACCACAACATCTTCAATGTGCCCAACTTTGCCACAATTCCTTATGAACTTTTTTTCAATAAACACACTCCCAGTCGCAATAATCTTTCTAGAACTATCATCTTCAATTACACATATAACATGGTTGTCACCATATGCACTGAGCTCTTGAAATCTTTCTTGGAAGTCATTGTCAGAAACAGAATCGCATATAGTTAATTGTTGCAGTAGTTCTATAAAACCCTTGCTCTTATCTGTAATCTCTAATTTTCGAACTCGCAATGTCTCTTCTTCATTGGAGTTGATGCTCTGCATCTTCTCTTTTCTGATTTCCTGATAACTGAAAATAAACAATTAAATAGATAAATAACATGGCCTTGCAGAGCATTAAATTGTTAAAAGAAATAGAGGAATATAATTTTTTGTCCACGTTACAAAATAGAGTGCGATGTTGTAAACAATATTGATAGTCTGGTCACAAATTTTAAATCATAATTTCAAAGAAATAAAAATAGGTTGGAGTATAATATAAATGAAAATTTGTTTTATGTATCACTATTCTCCCCAATCATCACTTGATGTGATCACATCATTAAGACATAAAGTCCTTGCTTAAAAGCAAAATAATAAAAGAAGTAGGACAACAAACATAAGAGCTATAAATTGTTCAGTTATAAAAAATAAAAATTAAAAATTAAAAAAAGAAAAAGGGAAGAAACAAGTTGTAAGAAAGAGGCGGGATTCACATAAGTCCTCTTTCATTTACTTGCAAATTGTCATGAAATAATGTACTTATGTAAGAATCTTTTCATATCATTACATCTTTCGGTTGATAGTTTTTGCAGCCTGATGGATATATGATTTTTTTCATAATCATTTCATTTCTTGTTTTTCTATTCTCTGTTTATCCTTGTTAGACAAACCAAACTGTGAAGAATGTAGGATTTTTATATCTTTCTGTTCAGATATTCGTTCTTTTGCCTGACTAAATGGTTTGTTATAGTTCAAATTATATAATTATTTTAAGTGTGTTTGATAATATGTTCGGAACTCTCCGAGCATAATATGAATGTATATATATTAATAAAAAGTAAATATATGCATTACGATGTATTAAACTCAAATCTATTAAAATTATATATTTCTCTTTTGGCATATGACACGGTTTGGAGCCATGCTATGTACTCTCTGGCGATGAGTGATGACAACTCTAGCATTAAGCTAAGACAGTGTGATTTTATGTCTCTTAAATTTATTAATATAAACTATTTGCTATGAATTATCACATTCTTCTCATTTTAATAAATCAATTTTATTTGTTTTGTCTTTCTTTATCCCATCAATCCAGATTTATTGTTAGATTCAAGATCATCATGGCCGGTCTTTACCATAAGCTTAGGCACTTAGATGGATACGTTATATTTGTGAAGCTTCAAGTTTATGTCATTCATTCTCCTAAAATCGATTTCACAAGAGAAATAGGATTCAACCAATCACCATCACAAAAGGGTAATTTCAAAAAGATAGAATCTACGACACCAACCAAGCCTTTGAAAAGAAAGAATCTACAACGGCAACCAAACCTTTTTCCCTACAACCAAGCCTTCAAAAAGAAATAATCTAATTTTCTTTTTTGATTCAGTAAAACATAAATGAAAATCAAAAGTATAGATGGGGTGAGGAGAAAGTTATTCTTAGAGGAAAATCGTAAATATAATTGTCTTTGGCAATTAGCAAGAGCTTCAGTATTGGAGGAGTGGATTTTGAAGAAATTTTCTTCAAACACCCAGAGGAGGAACTGCGGTCCGATCAATTTGAATGTTTCTTGGTGGTAGGTAATATATATAGGAGTATATATATATATATATATATATATATATGAGATTTCTGAAAAACAATTTCAAACAAAACATATAAAAGTAATTTGTTTAATAAGATGAAAAGTGAAAAAAAATATCAAATTATGGATGAACGAAAGAAAATTATTTCAGAAAAATCATACTTAAATCGGAAGATCCAAAAATTAAGGGAAGGAACATAAAGTCAGACTTCCCAGATGCTCAGGAAAAAGAACATGAATCATAGATCATATATTTGTAATTTCTAATTAAAATGAACAAGTTCTGGAGATTACCTTCCAACAAGAGACCGATTTATAAGGTGAACGTTATCCGTCCGGTGAAATTGTTTGGAGAGTCTCAAGGATCCGCAATGCGCTGTGAAGCCTGCAAAACGTTCAAACTGGGGTTAACCTTAGCTATAATCTCTTAGTATGAAAGAAAAGAAAAATTGCTTTGGTAACCCTATAATTTGTTGGAAGTAAATCCAATTTCCTTAGGTTTGAAAAATTATATATTTCCCATTTAGATTTGGGTAAATACAACCTTATCACCATTAATCAGTGAAACAGTTAAGAAAGGCTTTGTTGAGTTGATTATGCATACGTTTAATCAGCAAATTTTCAAAAATAGAACATATATATAAATTGAGCTATCAAAAGTTACCCAAAATGGTGAGCAAATGCAACAACAAAAAACCCAATACCAGTTTCACATTCCATACACACATTCATATAAATGAATAGATTCGGAAGAAATTCTCTGAAACTGTTCATGAATAGTTTGATTATTGTTGAGACTCTTGAGAGACTGAGAATTCAGAAGAAAGAGAGAGAAAGACGTGACCTAAGCTTGGGAACTTAAAACGGATATGTTATTTTTGTGAAGCTTCAAGTTTGTCATTCATTCTCCTAAAATTGATTTCACCAACCCCCATCAAATACAGGATAACTTCGAAAGGAAAGAATCTAATTTTCTTTTTTGATTGAGAACAAGAAAGAAAATATCAGTGTTCATTAAACATAAAGGAAAATCAAAAGTATATGTGGAGTGAGGAGAAATTTATTCTCATAGGAAAATCAAGAGGATAATTGTCTTAGGCAATTGGCAGAAGGTTCAGTATTGGAGGAGTGGATTTTGAAGAAAATTTCTTCAAACACCCAGAGGAGGAACTGAAACCACTTTTGATTCGATCAATCTGAATGTTTTTTTAGTGGTAGCTAATATGTATATAGGACCTTATCCAAAAAAAAAAATGTCATAAGGAACACATAAAAATTTGTTTAATAAGAGGAGAATTGAGAGAAATATCAATTATGGAAGAAATAAAGAAAAATATTTCAATTTAGGAAAAATAAAAAAAAGTATTTCAGAACATTCATACTTAAATTGGAAGATCCAAAAATTAAGAGAAAGAACATCAATCATAGATTTCTCACTTGCTTAGGGAAAAAATTATTAATAGATCACATATTTGCAATTTCAAATTAAAACGGACAAGTTCTGGGAGATTACCTTTCAAGTAGAGATCGATTTATGAGGTGAACGTGACCCCTCCGGAGAAATTGCTGAGAGTGTCTCAAGGATCCTATACAACTGCCATTATCAAACATCTTTATAACACCTCTGTAATCTATACACACATACATATATTTTTATATGGATAATCTGAAACAAATCTCTGAAATTGTTCATTAATCGTTTCATTCTGGTTATAAAGACGGGCCTAACTTACCATATGAGCCCTAAAGTCGTCCCCCATCACCACGCTGAAACAGAGGCGAAGTGGAAAAGACTGCTACCCAAAATGTAAGAACTTCTCATCACAAGATCCCCGATGCTCTCTGTAGTCTGCTAAGCATTCAAACTGGTGATATGAAAACAAAATATATATATATAGAGTATATAAATTGCCCGGATAGCCCCATAATTATTGTTTTTTTAGGTAGGTAGATAGCCCCATAATTTGTTGGAAGTAAATCCAGGTTGGATAAATAACGTACTTTAGGAGAGATTCTGAGTATGTAATTATTTTTATATAAGATAATAGGTTTTAAATTGTTAATCAGTTTAAACTTAAAGTGAACTTTTGGTGTGGTGGAGCAGTATAAAAAATTAATGTTTTGGTTGGAGGGACGAAAAAATAGATGAAAGAGAGAGTGGGAGGAATAGATGGAACATAAGGAAGGGAAGGGAAGGGAAGGGAAGGTGTTAGATGAATAAGGTGATATTTTTATTTTGTTTGGATAAAATAGAAAGAATGAAAATTTTTATATTTTTTCTATCAATATACTCTCATTAAATAAAATTATAAAAAAATAGATATTCATTAGAAATTTTTTAAAAAGATTAAAATTGTAAATTATATATTCAAAGGTAGTTATATTTCCTCTCTCCTCTCTTCCCCCAAAAGTGGGCAGATAGAAAAATATAAAGGAAGAGGGATGAAACATCCTTTCTTATTTTCTCTCTTTGTTCCCTTTCCTCCGATTAAATACGAAAATAATTATCCATATCTATTGTCATCCGTTCTCCCTCAATCATTTCCTCCCACCAAACATAGCATAATTCTTCATCCGAAATTATTTCAATATTACAATTAATATCTAAATTCATAACTAGATGGGTGCATTATAATTTTTTTTAAAAATACATTTAACACTCCACTTATTGGATATAATTATGTCATTGACTTTGTTAAATTAAAAATTCATATTGGTTCTAAGAATAATAAGTCTGTAACGCACAGTCATTCAAAAAATACAGTAAAAATTATGATTAAATAATATGAGAATTATATATAGATAATTGAAATTTCATTTATGTTCATTTAGTAATGTCCTGAATAATTGTGTGTGTTTTTTATTTTTATTTATTTATTTGTTAATGGAGTATGAGACATATAAATACATATTTATAACACCTACTTATAATTCTTTTATTTAAGTAATGCTCATTCATTGAATAAAAGAGAAAGAGGGCGATAAAAAATTAAAAATAACTTGGGAGGAAAGCTATACTTGGAGGCGAGGCAAGAGGCACAGGGGTAGCACGTGACGTGGGTGAGGACGAATCGTGTGCTTGGCAGAAGCTTCATTGGACCTGGAAGAGCGAATTTTCAAGAAACTCTTTTGTTTTCTTCAAACGCATTCGAGCAGAGAAAGAAAAACCATATTCGCTTCTTCGATCTAATAGTTAGACGATGATCTAAGAAAAGCTATGTCATCGGCGTTGTCAAGATCGTTGTTGTTGCACAGACTCACCCCATTCTTCGCATCTCGAATTCGTCAGAACCACAGACTTCTCAGCTCTTCTTCTTCTGCCCTTCCCGAATTTCCATCTCCATCTCCATCTCCATCTGTTGATGCCATTCAAATGACAGACAATTGCGTCCGGGTATCCTCTCTCTCTATATATACATATATGTATATGTATATTTCGATGGATCTTGATTTTTTTAATTCTACCGATTATATTTATATTTTTTTCTATGTGATTCAATTTCTGAAATGTTTTATTTCTAGTTTCGGTACTGTTTCCTTTTCTTTCTTTCTTTTTTTTTTCTTTTCTTTTTTTTTTTTTGTTATTTTCATTGATATTATCATTTCGCGGCGTTCGAATTCTGGATTAATTCATATAATAGAGTAGCAACAGTGATAACAACGCCTCATTGATTTATATAATCGATTGTCATGGAATTATAATAGTATTGTAATATATACGCTAAAGAATGTACTTATCAAAAATATATATATATACGCTAAAGAATGTAAAAACCCTATGTAAGAAATTGCCTACGTTTTGTGGCATGTGTGAATATTGGAATAAAGATTTTTCCATGTTTGTGCAGAAATTTGAGTAAAATTTGTGGTATTTGGAGAGAAGATTAGAGAGCAGATTAGAAGTCCAGAAAACAGTATCCATGATTTTTTGTTTTTCCTCCCTTTCCTTGTGACCTCCATCATGGACAATTGTTGAGTTTGGCCCATTTTAGTCTCTTTGTTTCTCTTTCTTTGTAATGGTATTTTAATTTGATGAAACATCTTTGTCTAGCTATATTACCTGGTACGTGTGTCGGGTACGGGTAGGATTTTAATTTTTAGATTAAAATTATTTCTTTATATAACATAATGTCTAATACAACCACTTCATTCGTTTTTGAGCAATAATATAATAAATTTGAATCATTAAATGTTTTTTTTAGGTGTATGTCCAATCAAAAGTGTTGGACACATATTCCACCATATCTAAGTATTGTGTGGCTATCACTGGTACTTCACCTACTTTTGAAGAGTCCATGTAATATAATTGTCTAATCCCTTCTTTTAATTTGATACAGAAATACATATCATTGAATTTGGTGATGAAGTTGTATTTGAATTCCTCGAGCTTGTGTTTTTAGATAATATTGTTGCTATTGTATTTCATTAACTTTTAGGAATATGTTGCAGAGAATGAAAGAACTGCAAGCCACTGACACATCATCAGAAGGAAAATTGCTTCGCTTGAGCATAGAAGCTGGAGGATGTTCTGGGTTCCAATATAATTTCTTGCTTGATGACAAAACCAACTCAGATGACAGGTTTTCCTTCAATTTCTACTCTTGAGAGTGTATATTTTTATCTTGTGATTCTACTGCAAAAGAATGCATTGAACTATATTCCATTCTATATAATCTTTTATAAAATATTACCTATTATTTTTTGATATTTGTAGAATTTTTGAGAGGGATGGAGTTAAGTTGGTGGTCGATAAAATTTCATTTGACTTTGTAAAAGGTGCAACGGTTGATTATGTCGAGGAGCTGATTCGTTCTGCTTTTCAGGTATTTGACTTTAACTTGTCATTTGTCTGCAGTTTATAGTTAATGCATCTCATTGCTGCATGTTTGCATTGCCTATTATATCGGGATCTTAAATTGGCTGCTCATTGTTCTAGAGAGATCTTATCATTTATTTGTTTTGAGAACCAGCCTTATATCCCATTAATTTTCCAAAACCATAATTGAGTTTTATAGTTTCATCTCTCTGGCATGGTCCACTAGTGCAGATGATTAGAATCTATGATATTACAACCTAGGCATGAGCATATTTTTTTAGAAGACGTTGCACCCTACTTTCCTGGAGCAACCGCTGCAGCAGCTCCATTGCCTGCATGGATAATGTTACCCACAAGAAACCAGTCTAGTGTTACAATGTTTTATATGTTAAATCTTATAATTATGCTGGATATTGCCTTACCGGGGAAAAAAACTACGCTGGATATTGATTTTTGATTTTATAGGAAATGGTACCTCTTGTTTAAATTTTGCTTAATGAGCACTTAAAAATAATTTATAATCTTATATGGTGAATTAATTGAAAGTTGATGATTGATTTGTGCATATCTTGTGAGTGGTTATGTTAAAAGATTATCAGAAAGGGTTTGGGGAGTTCTATTTGCGCATTATTTGTTGTTGGGGGAATGGTCAGGATACAGTTTTTCGCATGATCATTGGTGTAGAATTAGCCTTGTAAAGTTGTTATTCTAAAAAATTCTACAATCCACACACTAAATTCTTAATTCTTGGATTTCCTCAGGGTTGTAGTTGACAAGTAGGCTGTCGTTTCAGGATTAGAAGTTAGAAACCCTGAAAAGGGGGTTCCTCTTTTTCTTTTTTCTTTTTTCTTTTTTCTTTTTTTCTTTTTTTCCTCTGTTTTTTCCCTCCTAGGTTGGGTTGGGAGATAGAGCTTCACCTGAAATGGCAGCCTGGAAAGAAAGGAAAAAGGGTAGTTTAGTTTGTAGGTTGCTAAGAGGAGAGGGACCTAAGTTACACAGATCGAGAACAAGAGCTGGAGAGTGATAAACTTTAAAATTTGTTCATAGCGGGAACATTTATAGATTGCATATTGTGTTTATACCAATATGTATATATCTATGTGATAATATTTTTAATATTTATATGCATGTGTAATGTTTTTTAAATATATGACACTCCAACTAGTTGTAAAATTGCTACAACACCCTTGGTAACCCAGATGTGTCTATATATATCTCTTTTCCCGAAATGGGAACATTTGGGGGTTAGTATCATAATGCATGACTACTTAAACACACACCCCGCGAGGGAAGAGGGGGTGGAGTCTCCTAAATGAATCCTTGGAAATTTATCCATGCAATCTAATCAATATTTTTAGGAGATACTGTTCTGTCGTTTATATATTAAGAAAGCCAAAAGATAAGCGCTATATATTATGCTAAATGATGGTCTGGTTTGATAGCTCTTATAGTTATAATAAGAGCAAAAATAACCAACAAGAAGATGGGTAAAGTGGCAGCGAGCTGTAGACCCTCCTTTAAAGGTCACAAGTTCAGGGTTACTTTTCAAGCCTCACTGTTATGTAGTTCTATTACACTGTTGTCCAGCATAATCTTAACTGGTGTCTGCCACAATTTAACAAAAGGTAATTTAACAAAAGGTTAAACTATCAAGATTCCGCTGACTGCAATTTCAGAATCTACAAATTTTCAAATTTTAAATGCGAATTGACTCACTTATCAGCGACTTGAGAGCGAATTCGAAGTTGGGGTATATTCCCTATTGGTATGGGTATTTGTATCTTATGTACAAGGGAGATGCAGATATAGTGAACTACTCGTTGAGGTAGTGTACTAGTGCCTGATACCAAGGGAGTTGTGGACTCTTCTTTCTATCCCTTATTGGGATCTCGTGTCAGCTCTTAAGGTTTTAACTAGCTGGAGCGAGTCTCACATAGTTTGTGTTTTTAGAATACGAGTATTTATAAGTGAACACTAAGCAGGAGAGTTAGGGAGGGATGGTGGTCTTTCCTTTATAAGGGGCTAGCCCAGTGCATGAGACTCCCGCCATGTCGGGTCTGGAGAGGGTAAGATGTATGCAACATTACCTTCTTGATGGTCTTTCCTTTATAACCATATGGTAAAATACTTGGAGGGGTAGCATTACCCATCTTAAAAGTAAAATATGATCCTCAGTTTGGATTGGGGTGGGGGGGGGGGGGGGGGGGGGGGGTGTTGAGTATACTTTTTTTTAATGTTTTTCTTTTGTTGTTAATGTGCCTTGCATGTAAAGTAGTTGCAACCCCTTTGCTTTCTTTTAGTGATTTATTGCGGAAAATTCATTAATTTTGTATATATATATTACCTTTGTTGATGTTAGTTTTATTCCGTCCCTTTTGTTTTCATTTGAATTAATTTTCCTTTTCTTATTGGTGCATCTAATGGTCTTGATTGATTGTTATTTGCATACAACTTAAGCATGCTCTCTCTTAAAATATTAGGTATTATTGGTTACTTCTTCGTTGGATATTGATTGTAATGTCGCTAGTGAATTCACCTAGTGCTAATGGTAATCCAGTGAAACAAAGAAACAGATCAGGTATAGCACATGTTACATATGCATCTAAATTAATTTTTAGGATAAAGTGTAAAAAGACCCCTCAACTATCCCACAACGTGCAATAAACCCCCTAAACTATAGATTTTACAGAAAACCCCTTGAACAATTACTTTTTGTTGCAAAACCCCTTTGCCGTCATAGTGCCATTAATAATTTAATGTCAAAAGTGCACATGCAAGTCATATGACCTTTTAAAATCTATTAAATACCAAAAATACCCCTTTCAACATACGAATTACCCAATACAACCGGGTCCAAAATCTGGAATCCCAACATCGATCCATTTTCATCGTCTCTATGGAGGAAATTATTAGGCGTCATCTCTAAAGCTACAACCGCTTTTATTGAGCGTCAGAGAAGTCGGCAAGGCTGAGGCTATTCTTATTCCTAAGTAAATACATCCCATTCCAGTTTTGGATTGAATGAGGTAAAATTGTTTTGGATTAAATGAGGCAAAATCGAATCTGGAGCAATTCGTGCATACTTTGAATTTTGAACCGATCAAATCATCTCAATCGTTGTCTATGGCATCGCCACCGTTGAAACATCTGGATTTCTTGTTCGGTTTGGTATAGGGGTTCATTCAACTCTGTCTAGGTGCATAAATGGAGGCCATTAATTGTGAAGATGAGACCAACTATTTTTTCTGATCGAAAGGTTTTGATGTCTTGTGTTAATCGCTTCAAAGTCATCATCTCCACACTTTCATTGCTCCCCCAACTCTTCTTCTAGCCCCACTTATCTCTCTTTAAACAACTATTCTCCATATCTCAATTGATCTCTCTCTCTCTCTCTCTCTCTCTCTAGAAAGTACAGATCCACTGCCTAAGACCCATGTCTCTCTTTAAACAACTATTCTTCATGGACAATGGGGTTTGTTGTGGGCTAAGCAATAGAGTAACGAAATGTTGATGTGGTGCTGTTTGGGGCAAATTAGTCTTTTCATTTTTCTGTTAATGGCCATCTGACAGTTTGGCCTTATTTGAATATTTACATTCAGTTTTTTTTTTTTTTTTTTTTTTCTCTCTCTCTCTCTCTGTGTGTGTAGTTCGAGGAGGTTATTTGCAATTGAGTGATAGTTCAGTTTTTTTTTTTTTTTTGCAAGTGGAAGCGAATTTAGATAGCTTGCAATCATGCAATTTGGAAGTTGGTTTTAATGTGATAGACACCATTGTACACTCCAAAATGTGGAAATGATAAAGAAACAAGAAGAAGTTACTTTTACTAATGGAATATTATTTGGAAGTCTGAGATTCTTCATGAATTTCTTTTTTATTAACTTATTTTTTATTTTTATGTTGCGGGAGCAGAGTTTTTTCTATAAGTAAATACGAGGAAAAGTAAAATAATGGAGGTTTTGGGGTTTAAATATCTTCAATAGTTGATATATTCGTGTGGCAGAGTCCCAACTTTGTTTCGTTTTTCTTGGCTAAACTCTTTTAAGTGCTAGTTGGGTTCAGCTTGTTGTGCTAGTTTGAGGTGAATTCATATGAAATCCTGTAAAAAAAGGGCTCAAGTGAGGTGCATGCTCCAAGAAGAATGAATTTTGTAAAGGAGGGGGTTTAAAAAATGAGGTTCGTAGAGAGGAAGGAGATCTACTGTTACTAAAGTTCATGTTTGAATCTCTCTGTTTCTTCTGTCCAATTTAGTGTGGTGGTGGCAAATAAATTAGAGATCCAAAATTATGACTATTTAGAGTAGCGTGGTCAATATGTTTATGTTTAATCATGTTTTGCACGGAAGAAGAAATGAGCAAGTGTGGACAAATTGGAGTTTTCCTCAATATAATAAAATTCGTGTTTCTGCAGTTTTTCTGATGCATATGACAATTTGGGGAGGTCAGGGAGGAGAAAAAATGGACTGTTGAAAGTGTTAACAGCTTCAAATGCATTATCCAGAATGTTGGGTGAGAGTTGTACTCAAATAAATTCACCGCATCATATGGCCTAGTATGAAAGCCTATAATGTTACCGTTAAAAAGTTGCCAAAAATAAAATAATGGTACCATTAAAAGGGTTTACACCTTACAGCAATGCTATTTCTAGAATGCAACAGGTTAGATGTGAGATTTTGGGTTAGGATGCTTGGTATGGAGAGGTTTTTCGTTGCTCATACAATTTCATTATGAAATGCCAAAAATAGAAGGTTAAAATTATGTGAAATTTAATTCAATATTTCCTTGCAATTTTGAAAAACAGGTTTATACTGAATCTATGTCGTCTTATTGAAATCTTGGGATTCACCAATTCATTATTTTCATTCTTTGGAAGTGTTACCATCTTCTTGTTGTCTAGGCCATGAGTGGCTGCAAATTATGCAGGTGTTGTGAAGATGCTTTACTGCACACCCTAAGCAGTTAGATGAGGAACCCCGCCCTTCTCCCCCCCCTTCCTCTTGTCCTTCCCCCCTCTCTCTCTGGGTCTATGCATTTGTGCATTTCATTGATCCTTGTCATAGACTAGTTGGCATACAAGAGGATTGTGCAAGAAATTGTTCAGTTTAAACTGACATTACAGGGCAGTGATTTGGAAAACAATTTTCGACAAATATGAAAATGGGACACATCCTGATAACTATAAGAGGCTGTTCCTTGAAATATGCCTCTTTTTCTAACTCAGCTTTCACTTTTCAGAATAACTGCCAATCAAATAAACTTTATTTTATATATTAGTGAAAATACAAAGCAGATACCGAACAGGGCCTAAATAAAACAAGCTCATAGTATCTGTTTCGTTCTGGCTGTAACTGGCCAGAATATATTGTTTCTGTCAAAATAAAGCAAGATTAGGTCCTATTTCATTTCCCTTAAACCCAGTTTTTTTTTTTTTTCATCCATTCTAGCTTGTTTTGGCCTGTTTAAGCTATTTTGGATCGAAAAGCTTGGTTTTTCTACCACAGTTTAGACAAGGTATAGAGCAGGCCTTCTTTGAGCAAATTAAAATGCCTCTATATAAAGAATATGACAACTTATTTAAATCTTGTATAATTTTTGTAGTGATGAATATGTAACAATACACAGAAACACTCTGGTACTTGTTGTACTGTTTTAATGGGAGAGAAACCATCACATTTCATAAATTTTCCTCAAGTATATATCCACATCCTGTAAAATTAGAAATTTCAGATCTCTGTGCATTGGAAGTTTCTGGTACTACACATTCAAGATTAAAGGCTCAAAATCAGCTACATCCAATTAACTTTTGGAGTTTCTTTTGTCAACTTGAAAATGTGGGATCTTGTGTAGTCTTGATCTGAGTGTATCAAAGGTGCAGAATCAAGATTAATTACGTGAATCCCAATAATGTGATACCTATACGTGCATGATGGCCCGCCCAATCAGGATTTAGAGGAACCTTCCAGCAGACCTCTTAACATAATGTTACAGCCAATGAGAACTGAAAATAAATGTTCAGTTGACAAATCAATAAAGGAATGTATTTGTTACCTAGTCATTAGTTATTTTTCTTGATTATGTGTTCCATATTGTTTTGATTGAATAAAATAATTGCACCTCTATAAAATGTAAATTAGTTATATATTCTGGTTTTTCTATGCTTAATTATCAAGCAATTGCTTTATTTCATGCTTTGGAAAATACTTTACTTCTAATGACCCGATCTTAGAGTTTTTTTCCATAAACCTTGCTATTGTGAAACGTAAAAGTATCCTTTTTGGCAAAATAATGATGTTCTTTTTATTTGTCAACAATCTACCATCATTCATGTTATAAAAACTGTTCTTCCTTCTTCTGAACAAATATAATAGTAAAGTCTCAGCTCAAATAAATTTTAATTAAATAAAATAAGTAGCTTTTTATTGCAATAATAACTAAAACATGAGAAGGTAATTAGAAAAGATTTTGTTAATTCGATTTTCATGTTGAGTCCTGTTTTGCAATTATTCACAATGTTACAGTTATGAGCAAACCTTGCCCGACCTGGTAAGGGGGGACACCACCTCATTCTTGTGTAATTTTGCAACTGAACTTGTCTCTTTTTTCATGTGCAGGTGGCTACAAATCCAAGTGCAGTGGGTGGGTGCAGCTGTAAAAGCTCCTTCATGGCAAAGTAGAGTTAGTAGTTATTGTAGGACGAGAACCAGATATCTTATCTATACACCTTGCAGAGAGTTAGGAGATCATCACGCATTTTTTCTTACTATTATAACAACTTTGCACCAATTCATTGTATAATTCTGTGTAGCAAGTAGAGCATCTCCTGCCTATTTATGTTGAAAGAAACTTGTTCACCTCCTGTTATACATGATCCATCATTAAAGGTGTCTTCGTTTTTGTGTCTACACATACATTACATTGGAGTGCCATATAAGAATTATCCAACAGGAGTTGTCACACAGAAAATAATATTGAATTATTGGTGGATATTGCAAGTTTCTAGGGATTGGTTTGCAGGTTTTCTCTTGTTCTAATCCAAGTTCTGTTTTTGCTTTAATTAATTAATTTATTTATTATTTTTAAACTTAAATCCTTGACCAAATAATATTTACTTGTGTTTAATGTGTTTATATGCAATCTGAATGGATGAAAGCGTTCTAAAATACCTTGCTGGCGTTTGAAGTCCATGCTAAATTACGCAAGCCTGTTGAGCATAGTGAAATGAAAAGCTTTTAGTGGCAAAATCACAATGAGGTTAAAAAATAGACCATGACATATTGTAAGGTTGCATAGGCAGTGACTATAGTTATAGCGGGTAAAAATAGCAAGGTTTGCCAAAAGGAAGCAAGGAGGAAAAAAGAGTGGGTAAAAATAGTTATAGTTTGTAAACAAACTTTTAACCGGCTGTCCCATGTTTAAATGTTGCAATTTGCCTTTTTTTATTTTCGATTTCTTGGAAAAAATAAAAATTAACAAATGACCAGGTAGGTAGGAATATAAATTTACAAGGAATAGAGTTTCATGTATTATTTGTGTGCAAAACCATTCAAATTGAAGAGCAATACCAAAAAGGACCTGCATGGATCAACCATTTAAAGGATGCATGCCGAATGCTGCAAGCACCCGAAATGCGATCAACAGATTTTATCCTGTTGAACATTTTTGTTTCCAAACGACAACCCAGAATCTTGAGATTGAAAGATGAGCATATCATACCACAATTTATCCAAAGAAAACAAATTCAGTAGTTTCAAAATTTGACCAAAAAAGTCGATTCTAATTAAAATATCTAAATCAACGAGCTCAAAACAAAAACATCCAAAGAAACAAACAAAAAGGAGGAGATCCAAAGCAGTCCCAGAAAACCGTATTGATGCATTGAAAAACATCAAAGAAAACACACACAAATTGATATCTAAAGCAGTCCCACAAAACTGTATCGAACAAGTCCTTCCCATGCTAACTTCTCACTTCACAGCTCGTCCATAATAACAGGCTTAGAAGATGCGGACTGGCTTCCCCATGGTGCTCTTCAGGTACAAGCACCTAACCTGATTATCACAGACAAATCAAATACACAAAATGAATTACCATGGACCATATCTTAAAAGAAATGGCACGCACTACACAGCGGAAAATGGAACTGAATTGCAGATTAAGAGATCATGTCAAGAAATATATTTTTGGGGCAACTTTTGTTTCTATGAAAGTAAACCCCTAACACCAAATTCATACTACAGGTGACTCATTTAACTAGACATGTAGTTATCCACTCGAGTTCTAGCTTAAGACTTTCTGATCATCCATTATCATTCACCAAAATACCTCCTCCACAACCCAATTTCTCAAGTATTTACAAGTTCTCCATGTGATTAGAAATGCATTAACACTCGAGCAGCAATTATGCATCAAGAGCAAGTAGCTGACTTCAGCTTCAAGAACTAATAACAACCACTCAGCCACTAACAAGTTTAGCATGACATTAAGGCATCCACATATCTAAAAGATGTCAAGTGACAACAAAAAATAAAATTTTAATTCGACTGTCTTAACTGGATTAAAACGAGATTAACTATCATCTAATTAAATCCCAAAAACGTTACCAGTAACAGGCACAGACCATTCCCAAAACTACAACTAAGAGTACAAAGAGCACATATTTAAAAGAAATACGACCGCTACCAAAACTTTTCTCAGTTAATTGGGGTCGGTTACATGAATCCAAGGTTTAGATACATATTTAAAAGAAATAACAACAAAATATAATTATGACCATCTTAACTGGGTAATGGCCTTCCAAAACGCAGTTTGAGTGGAACCAGTACACGGTAATGACCATTTGATCTTAATTAGTTTTGCAAGACGTTCATGAAAGCCATTTAAACCCCAACTCTTAAACAATAATCATCCAACATCAACTATTCCCAAATCAACCACTTAGCCACAAAGAAACTTATTAGCATTGTTGGGGCAGAATGCAAAGAAATAATAGTACAGAATTACAATTATAAATGACAATTTTAACTGGTTTTAACAGAGATTAATATCAGCTAATTAAATCCCACATCATCGCAAAACAAGAAATTAGATTTATGGTTCTGCTGATAAAGATTGTGGAGGCAGTCAACTTACATTTTGCCAGTTTTTCTTCAATAACGAAACAAGAAAGTTTACACTCATCTGAACATTCTGGAAGATCTGTTTATCCTCCATGCTGCAATTCCCCACAGCAACTCCCATGCAGAGAACCTTCTTAAGTTGAAACTTTACCATTGCTTTTGTTTCGTTAACTTTTGACTCCAGAGTTTCCTGATGAGTCACCAGTGTTGGAAACTTTCCTGCATTGACATATTGGTGGTGTAAATACGATAAAGGAATTGAATAACAATAGCAAAAATTCCAATGACTGACTCATTGTCACCAATTAGATGAGAATTTTATAAAATCAAACCATTAAGGCAAGAGGTCTCAGAGTGAAGCTATATCAGAAAAATCAAATGTAGTGAATATATGCATAATGTGATGTCTCCTGGAAGCTTATAGCAGATTTGGCAATGTTCGTCATTCACCCAACTGAAAATATCTGCATACATAAGATGACCTTCCAAAAATAATAACATCCGCTTGGATTTGCAAATTTATATGGTAAAGTGACTCATCCCAATCTAATATATTACTATGCCTGTATTTAAAAATTTATTAACATACAAGGAGAAAAAGAAAAGGATAAATCAAATACATCAAACATAAACAGAGTGAACCATAAAATTTCTTGATTGTGTCCATAAAATACTCTTTCTGAAAATTCAGAGATTACCAGCTCAATTGACATCTCAACAACTAATTCTGTTGATAGCTTTTTTGTTATTCAGATTTGAATAAAACAAAAAACTACCCTTCAGAACTTCATTTACCTCTACACCATTATAAAGCCTTTGTTCACCGTAAAGCATCAAAATAGGAATGAATGAACAGGTCATAAAAATCTCCAATTCTCACTAATGGAAAATTTGTTTATTAAACATGATATAACAATCACCACATTCTGAATGCAGTTATGGGACATTTTCTCTGCTCCAGGTATGACAAATGACCTCTTTCTAATTGACTAGAGACACAGAAGTCACTAAGAAAAAAATATGAGGTAGAGGTTGATGAAGAACAGCAAGAGCGTGCAAAAGTGTCATAATAAATTAGAAGTACTTGCCTGCCTTATTGAGACCAGGGCCTAAAAGACGAGGGATCTGCTTGATAACAGCTTCAGATGCCAGAAAGGCATGGTACTTTTTGGCAAGCTTCTTGACCAATTTCTTGTTCTTATTGAGCTTCTTCAACCCTTCAACATCCATATACTCCAATCCTATCTTCTCTGCCTGTTGTGAGAATTAGAAGTGACATTAAATAGAGGAGAAAGCCATGCGTTACAAGAATGTCCCCTCCTATAATAATTTATTCAGTTTTATTATTTAGAAATGGATGAGAAAAGTAGAGTACAGTGTATACTAATTGAGTGCTTGTCAATATATTCTAAATAATGGTTAAAAATCAGGTGCAGATATAAAACAGTGTACCTTAAGTAAGATTATAAAACTAGATGCATATCGAGTAAGGTCATAAAACTAGGTGCATATAAAAATATCACGTGCAAATTACGAAGAAAAAAAAAAAGGAAGAACTTTAAAGCAACACAAAAGGTTAGCATGAGAGAGAGAGAGAGGTACAACTGCACAATTAACAAATGACAGTCAAGATAACGTAGCTGTCCTACTAAATTTACCTCTTCTACATGCTGAGCATCACCAAGCATGCAAACCTTCATCTTAGGGCGAGGTATGTGTGGCAATTTCACAGAACCGCTAAAACGCTTGTCCTTTTGGGGATCATAGTTCTTCAAACCAATTTGAAGCTCTATGGTCTCTGTAAAGTTACGTTTTTTCTCCTTTGCCTCTCCAGCAATCTGGGTGATGGCTTCTCTGACAGCATCACTTTGTAGTTTACTGGGATTATAAAAACAATGAATTCACACAAGTAGAGTTAACACGTGTAGACCCAATCTTCATGTTTCCATGAAGCACACACGATATATAAAACAAGCCACCTAATATACTAAACTCGTCTATCAAGTGACCTTACAATGGAAACACCTAAGGGAATAACTTCAAAACGCTGCACCAATGTTCTCAAACAAAAGTTTGAAAACCACTTAAAACAGCCAAAAACAAAATAACAATGGCATTTGCAGAGGGAGTAACAGATGCCTCAAATCATATTAAAAAATATTTCTATATGAAGTAACTAGATTGATGATAACGTGGGTCTAACACAAAAGCTGATGGTGGAGGCACTATTACTAGGTGTGTTTTTTTAATAAGTGAGAAATTTATAATTGATGACATAGCAAAGAGTGTGTTTAATCCTTTAACAACTTTAACAAGACATTTAATCCTTAAAAAACTTTTACCTCTAACCAACCACTCAAGAAGTTTACACCGACTTCAAATAAGTAAACCCTGCCATCGCTGGTCACTGGACAAAAAACTTAATATAGACACACATACATAAAAGAAAGTATACACATATTAAGTATTTGACATGCTTATAAAAATATATATAAAGCTAAAACAACATAATCATGAATTTATAGACGTGTAAGTATGAAATTACACACATCTACCCAAAATAAACGAGTATGATGTACACAAATTATGTTTCAATGTATGTGTGCAAGTCTGTTAAGAAATCAAGTGCCGTGAAAGAATAAAAACAAATCACAGTTTATTGGCTCAATGTTTTCACAGCAACGCCATCAAACCCAAAAAAAAAAAGAAAAAAAGAAAACCTAAAATCAAGGCAAAAGGTTATTAAATGTAAAAGAGAAGTACCTCATGGTGAACGATTTCTCCTATCTACAGTTCCTCTGTAGATACCTCTAGTGTCTGCACAATCGAAGAAATGTACCAACAATATCGAAGGAAAAAAAAATGTATCAGTAAGATCGAAGAAAAAAAGAATCAATATCGGGTCAGAGGTAATCAGACGCACGGACGAAACCCTAAAATTCGCGGTTTGAGTGAGAGAGAGAACAAACCTGGTTGAGACTGGAGACTGCAGACGAGTAAGAGAAAGGGTAGCGAAAACCCTAGATGCTAGTATTATAAATAAAACTTGGCCCTTGGACGTAGACCTGGACTACCCCAATTGGGTTTTTGTCGATTGAGGTCGGGCCTGAAGAAAGCCTGGCCCAGTAAATTAATTACCAATACAGCCTCAAGAGGCAAAATGGTACATTTAAATTCTTCCAATTTTTTCAAAAAGAAAATGGCATGAATTTATTTGAAAAACGTTTCAAATTCTTAATAATTCCCAAAAAAAAAAAAAAAAAAAAAAAAAAAAAAAAAAAACTTTACTTTTGAGGCATAATTGAGTCTTTCAATGTTTGAAAATACCAAAGGAAAAATAAAAACACAACAAATTGAGAGTTTAACTTGTAACAAAAAAAAAAAAGTTTCTTAGATATATATTTGTTACAAAATATATATATCTAAGAAACTTCCAATTTTTAGGTGGCAATTATAAATTGAAAGTTTTTAGATATATATTTGTTTAAATTGTAAGTGTTTAAAATTTTACCTCACACTCAATACATAAAGCAAATTCAGCCATTCAAACCCCAAGACATAGAATATGCCATTTTTCTACCCATCTACCATACAGGCATTTTAAGAATTCAACAGATATTTTATAATTTTCTCAGAATATGCCCTCTTTCTGCACTAATTATATTTCATAAATTTTTCACTCTCTGGACGCTACACATCACCCTCATTCAAAATAAATAATGCATGGAACAACCAACCCTTCAATTTCTTGGTTAGACGTTTAAAAAGGCAATGCTACTAATACATAAAACGGACTTTTAATTGCCATCATAAGTCAAAAACATTCACCGATTTTATATTTTATGAACAATGCTATATGCACCGAATAATTAGGCAGAAACCTGTAGCCAAAGACATCAATTCTTTAGCATTAAAGACATCAATTGAGCACCCACAAGAAATAATACAAAAATACAATAAAATCATCTCATTAACAAAATGGAATATGATGGCTCGTCAATTTAGCCCACAATAGATATATATATTATATATATATATAATAACCACTACCACACCAAAAGATAACCAAAGCATTTCTTCTTGTATCCCTCATCAATCAAATATCAATAGCAGTGCAGACACTTTGCCTGGAGAAGAAACCGCCAATGAACCAAAAAGATAATTAAAGCCTAAATTGATTCCCGGGAAATAACTAAACCACATTATGTTTGTGCATGAATACATAATCCATAACAATTTGACATTTTCAAATATCCAGTTGAAATGAAGCATGATCAAAAAAACATCAGCAGATGCACCAACACAAATATCACTAGTTTCAAACAGTCGAAATTGCTGCCTGAGACAAATGTTTATTCCAAAGTTTCAGAAGTACACAACTATTAAGAGAGTGAAGAAAAGAGGCTAGGTACTCATTCTTCTGATTGCCTTGTACCCAAAACTGAAATATCTTCGTACCGTTTCTGTCATACGGCAAAAATAACAAAATCACAGTCAGAGAGTAGTAACACAAGGGGAAAAAAAACTTAGAAAACATATTATTAGTATGCAGTACACTTGCAGACACTTGTGACTTGACTATAAAAAATTCATTTTATTTGAAACATTTTCAGTAGTTTCTTTTTTCTTTTTTTAAATAAATAAATAGTGTTATAAGCAAAAGTGCAACAAAGTGTGCAATCCACATTCATACACAGGATCCAAAATGTAGGTCATGCCCCATGATTTTATGCAGCTCAACCCTCCAAAGTAAATAAATAAAGTATCACCAGAAATTCAAAAAATGAAATATGTATGGCATGATTTTGTTCCAAACTCTGGAGAAACAAGCATACAACCCCCAGCTTTGAAGGTTTGCATATTTTTCGCATATTTTTCTCCCACCATATACAACACATTGAGAAAAAGAGGTGTAGCTGCCAGGCTCAATGGAAACTGCCAATTTAGCACCCATGAGGTCCCCTACTGTCCTAACCACAATCCTGTATTCCACACGCACAAAACAAGGAAAACAGCATGCCCCATAAGTCCCACATAACCAAACAGAAAAAGAAATTAGCGATCTCCTCCGCCCCTTGCACATACAACACCAATTAAGGGTGTGTTTGCTATTATCATCCTATGGACCAATTAGAGGTTTAAAATAGCTACATCTTTATTTATTTGTTTATTTTTATAAGTAATTAAAATAGCTAAATCTGATCATGGAACATTTTATATACAAAGTTTAGGGGAGAATAATTAGAGCTCTACTATCTTCCGAAAAAATAATAATAATTAGAACTCTAATACCATATCAGCTTGGTAACAACTATCAGTTACATTACCTTGACCTCTAAAGTCTAAATGTAGCATATAAAATTACAACTTGAAGGCAATCAAGTATTTTAGAACTTAGTATGATATTAACTATGAGAAGCCATGATTTTAATTCAAAAAATATAATCATACAACTTACTAAAAAAATTTAAAACATTATACAACTTAACCAAAGAAGAAAATATAATCATATAAGTTAGAACCATTTGAGGTCTATCAAGAGAAAAATTAGAACTAGGCATGCAATTAATGTACTAGCAAGGATTTTGGATAGCAGTCAACATAAATGAAAAAAGTGCAGTTGGGCTAAGAAGGCAACTAAACGGGACAAGTATACAATTACTAATAATCTCTCTCCCTCGCACCACCGTTGTTCTTCTTTTATCTCTATCTATGAAGCACGGACACTCCTTCTATGGATCCCGTACCAGTGTCGGACACTTTTCGGACACGGACACATATCCGACACTTCTGTGAAGTGTCCAGAAATTATTTTTTATTGGACACGGGATGGACACAGCTCGGACACGGCTCAGACACGGGTGGACACGGCTCGGATACGCGGGGGACACGGCTTGGACACGGCGGGGTATATTTTGTAATTTTTTGGAAGTTTAAAAGTAAAATTTTGAAAAAATAAAATAACAACTACAGACAACAGAGTACTACACAGTAAATTTATTTTCTCTCACTTCCTCTCTCAATCTCTCCTCTTCTTTAATTATCTCTGTACATGAACAAAACATTTTTTTTTTTTTTAAAGTTACATGAACTAGACTTTGTGAAAGACTGAAAGTATATATGTTTATTCATGTACATATTTAGCCCATTATAACTATGTCTCTTCTGCACATCTTCGTTTGGAATTTGGATCAACTTTATTTTTCGTTTATTTTCTGTTTTGCCCTTGTCTATGTTTTTCTTATAACAAAGATGAAATTATTGAAATTGGTCATGTTATTTGTTGTTGTTTTATTTGCAATTTTGTATTTATATATACCTGTTTGTTATTAGGAAAATGAATGTGCAAGGTTCTAGTAAGTATATTTTGAATATATATATATATATATATATATATTATTTTATAGGCGTATCCCCGCCGTGTCTGTGTCCTATTTTTTTGAAATTTGTCGTGTCGCCGTATCCATGTCGTGTCGTACCCGTGTCCCGTGTCCGTGCTTCATAAATCTCTATTATCCTCTTCTATATTCTCTTTGGTATCATCTCTTACCTCTATGTCTTGAATCTATTTATCCATCTCCATCTAAGATTACTCTTACCTCCACCCTCTTAAAACATCATGTGCTTCTTACCTTCTACATCTCTTTTTCATCCTTCTCTCCTTCCTATCTCCTCTTCTCTTTTATCCATGTACTTACTTAATCCGCTCCTTTATTTCCCCCTCTCTTGAAAATATATTTTCCTTACCCTCTCATTCTCATAATTTATTTGAATAACCATATCGAATCAACTCCGTGGATCTAGTCAAGTCAATTCTAGTCATGTATGTGCTCCAGAAATGTAAGAACATGCCTTCCGTGAAGGTACACGTATAACCAACCAAGCCTAAAAATGACTTTCAATTGAAAAACAAACTTCCTTAAAGCAAAAGTGTGTGTGTGTGTGTGTGTATATATATATATATATATTTATGGCTCAATAGTAAAAAGATATATAGCAGCTTAATTCCTAGTATGAATAGCATATCGTTACAGCCAATTATATTTCAATCTTAAACCATAAATTTGAGAAGGGGGAAAAAAGTGATACATATTTAATAAAACAAAAGGTAAATTAAACATTGTCAAACACGTAGACTGCACTATCCCGCAATCCACCCCGTATCATAAGAATGCACGAGTTGTACATCCTAAAGTTATCTTTTATGCTACTCACAACAATTGTTTTTCTATAAAATATCCAATAAACCAGTATACAGGTATGGACAAGTTGATGAACGCTTTATATGATAAATGATGAAAGGGACAGCCCCTACTGGATAACTATGTAACTATCTAAGGCATGATTTACAAACTGATAAAATATTTTAATTTTACTACTGGCCTCCATAACCAAAATTTTCAACACATTTCAACATATTAATAATAAAGAATTAGCCAAATCAACAGATCTATACTATAACAGTAAAGTAGCAAAACCAGCATAATGATTCCGAAATTAACAAATAAACATTTAGGAAAAGCATATGACAGTATATGTAATTACCCCAACATTGTTGGATTCCCAGAGCTTATGAACTCCGTAGTCCACAGCCTGCACCAATGAAATCAAAATACATCAGGAATTCTCATATGCCAATTTATTTGGAAAGATACTGACAGTAATCAATCCTGACATACACATAATGCATAAATTCAAAACCCCAAATCAAGTAGATAGTAATATATAATTGATTAATTTCAGTCCTCTTAGTCAACAAAGAATATAGATTTATATATACATGTTTATGTATGTTTGTATAATTTATATATAGGGATCTGCTCAACCCTGTCCTCTTGTAGTTTTAATCTTTTCCCTTCAACAATATTATTAAAAAAAAAAAGTACTACTCAAATTATGACTTGAGTTAAGTTGAGCATGTCATTTCCTTGGAACTTAAATGGCAAAAAAAAAGAAGAACATGTAATATATATTCATTTCCCTCATTATCCAAATAATCCAGATAATATATACTCAACAAAGCATGTTTAAAAGTACATGTATATCTGGTAAAACCTAACCTCGTGTAATTTCAATATGGTTGTTCATGTCATCCATTAATGTTCTTTCAGATCCAGAAATCAGACGAAAAATGATAGAAAATCTTATAAACAATAGACACACACAAAGAGATTTAGACTGAGTAACGCAGCACAAACTCTAGCCCCTAACTGTACACATTCAACAAGGGGGCGAAACCCCATCCCTAATTGTAGCCTCAAATACTTTCAACCTTTTTAATCAACATACATTTCATACACAGGAAAATTTAAGGATTGCTTAAAATACGATTAATTGAAATAATTAAGCTGAGCTTGTCATTTCTTAGGAGCTAAACAGCAAGAAAATAAAGGATTCATAAACATTTTCTTTCATTTTCATCGTTTTTCCCACCATCCAGACGGAATCTAAGTATCCAATCCATTAACGTTCCATCAGATCCAGAAAATCAGATGATAAGATTAGAGAATATTTTCAAACATGTACAATCAAAATGATTGATGTCGACAAAAAGAAATAAAAAAAGGAGCAAAACCATAACCCTAATCGTACCCGTTCACCGAGGAAAGCGCCTGCGATGACGAAAGTGGCGTAGACGGCGGTCCGTCGCATTAGGACTTTGTATAGTCCTTCGAGAAGGCCTCCACCGCCACTCCTGCGAACTGTTGATTCCATTCCGATGATTGATTTCACCATCCGCCTCTTTCTCGGTCGTCTGATCTCTTTGCTTTGAGCTTCCTTCTGCTATGTCAACAAAATGGACAGTTTCTTAAACTTCTCTTTTTTTTTTTCGAAAAAAAAAAAAAAAAAAATTGTAAATTCCACTTACACCTGACCTTTGCCAAAAAATAAAAAAATGATAAATTCCACTTACACCTGACCTTTGCCATTATTCCATTCACACTCTTGTACTTTTCATAATTCTACCAACAACCCCTATCAATAACCGCCGACTAATTTACTAATAGAAATATGTGATTTTACTTTTTTATCCATAAATTATAATAAAATTTATAACTTAAATGAAAAGACTTAAACACCTCCTATTTCTCTCTCTCTACGCTGTTCACCCGAAAAAAACCCTACTCTATGTGGCTACCTTTTCTCTCTCTTATTTTCTTTTTCCCTTTTTTTTTTTTTTTCTATCCTTTATTACGTTAACTACACCATTTCTCTATCTTCTTTTCTTTTTCCATTTCTTCTTCATTATTGCCCGCAGAATCTTATGCAAACGCCAGTGACCAAGACTCACAGTGGGTCAGCGACGACGTTGACCCCGATCGGTGATTTTTTGGTTCGTATTGCGACGAGAAGGGTCTTAGCTCGTCGCCAGCTTCTTTGCTTGTTGTTGCGGCTAAAGTGTGTGTATAGACAGTAGCCGAACGGCGGAGATCGTTTCACCTCTATAATTTGTCGGAGATTGCTTTACCTAGTTCAATCTGGCGATCCCAAGTCCTGCGTGGCTGCACCTCGTCGATCGCAATACTGGTGATGGCAAGGCAACACGATAGGAAGCTCTGACGACAGTGATTCATTCTACGATGCTGACTCTTGTTGTAACTCCACCGACCTCTTCGGTGGGAACTAATTTATCGGCTACCGGAGCTCCGTCGCCATCCTTTTTCCGTTCTCCACTACTGAATATGTCGAGCTCAAAGCTAGAACGAACCAAGTTCGACCAAACCCAGTTCAGTCCAGCAAGCAACGATTCAGTTATACCACTAAAATGGAGAAAAAATCCGAAGAAATGTCCTTGCAATTGAACGCGCGGGCAGTAAAAACTGAAGTTTAAGGTGCTCGGTGTGGAGTAAGGACTGAAGCTGGAGGTGCGGGCGTGGACTGAATGGCAATTTTGAAAACCTGTGGAACTTAACGGCGGACAATACTCCAAGAAGTTTAGTTCAGTTCGGCCTAGCTACAAGCTTCCTCAACCCACCTCGGTGAAACCTAATTTAAAACGGCCATAGACACGCCAGAGCTGTAGAAAAATCCGGCCTAACTCTGTAACTTCGTCACCATCGTCAAAACTACAAGCTTCACCGGCCTTGTCACAGTCCGCCTCATGTCGGTCATTTTATTCCACCAAACAGTTCATTGGCATCCCTATTGAAGCATGCCCGCCGTCCTCTTCATCGCCGTTTAGTCATTTCATCACCTGTCAATTTAGTCTCCCCATTTCTCGCCGGTAAAAATAGTTTCACCATCGGTCCTTATTGGTAAATTCCGTGGCTGCAGTTCCCGTTTTGCATCGCCTAGCCATCCTTGCACACCATTCAGACTTGTTTGGTCACCATCTCTAGTGCGTGGATTAATACTACGTGCTCAATTCTAGCAAGTTACAAAGTTGAAGCCATCGATGAATGGGGTGTTACGGGTTCGGTGATACGAGGGCACGGTTATCCTTTTGAGTTTTGCATTGGCTAATGAGGTAAAAAAATGTCATTTCAAGTATTAGAAGAGTAAAATTGATCTTGTACCAATTTTTTCATGCTCAGTTGCTTAACAGCAGGGTAGTTTATTACGTAAACCAAAACCTTAGGTAGGTGAAATATTCAAATATAGGTGGAATTTATTCAAAAAAAAAATTTTAGCGCCCTTAATCTTTTAGAGCAACTCAAATTGCCAAATCACCTTTCAATTTCAAAATATAAGAGGTGGGGTTTAAAATGGGCTCTCCAATAGACGATCAAATAGGCTGCTAAAATTTGAGATTGTCAAATCTTCTACCAAATATAACACAAAATATAATAACCTGTTATTGCTCACTATACCCAGAAGACTGAGAAGAAAAAGGGCGACAGAAAGAGAATGGCATTTCAAATTTGTATTTTCTCTGCCTCTCTTATTCTCATATGTGTGTGTGTATATATATATCTCTCTCTTCTCAGATTGGATCGGTAATTTTGTGGGTAAATTTTCTCTTCTCAGATTTGTATATATATATATATATATATATTTCTCCACTCAACCAAATAAGGTTGGTAATTAATATTCTTTGTGAACATCTTGATGTGAAAATTTCTCAAAATTTCACTATTTTTCGTTACTATTTTTTATTTTTTTTTTCCTTTTCCAGTCTATATATTAATGTTTACTTTTACAGTTTTTATATATCTCATCTTTCTCGAAAAACAATTTAAGATCTTAGAGAAAGGCTTTATGCCAATTGTACTCTAATGGATAAATCGTACTCTGGTGGAGGCTTGGAAGTCTGTGGGTGATTTTTATTTTTTTTTTTTAAGTAAAGTCTGTGGGTGATGACAAAATGCTTTTTGACCAATCAGTAATAAAATTGCAAAGGCTTTAACATAGGGTCATAGTATAATAATTGGTTAGGTAAATCAAGCGAAAAATTATGCATGAAAAAATAGTATTGAAAAATTCTTACTTCTTACCAAGGATTGACCATGAAAAAATAGTACTGAAAAATTCTTACTTCTTGCCAATGATTGACCATGGAACATCTTTTATTTTCCCAGAAATGAATGGAAAGGATTGGAAGAAGAAGAAAACCTCCTTGTGGTGTTTATTGACAGGGCAAAGCATAGGATAAAATTCCCTAGAACATCTTGTTATTTTAATTTTTTATTGTGGTTCATCATGTTGTAAAATTTAATTTATGATCATGTCAATGTATGTGTTTTAGGTGGGTTCAATTATATAATTATTTATGACATTCAATTAAAATGAAATTTCTCTAGCAATCAATAGTCCTTGATCGTAAACTAGATATGAGGCCATCTTGTTACATCATGGAGCAGAATTACATCATTACAGCATAGTAGTTGGGAATGGCAGTTGAAAAAAAAAAATGATGGTTGTATCAAAAAAATGGCATTTTGAATAAAATGCATCATTGGAGTAGAATTGCTAAAATATAGCATTTTGACATTATAAAAGCATCTCCAACCCAATGCTATTTGGGCTGCTATTTGTAAATATAGCAGATGGGCTTCAAATGGGCTCTCCAATGGACTGTCATTTAGCCTGACAAATTTTAACTTTGCCAATTCTTTTGTCAATTCTAACACAAGAAATGGCACTTGCTATTTCTGATATTTCGTTCTTATGTAGGGGCAAGAGAGAGAGAGAGAAGAGAACGGCGGCAACAGACCAGAGAGAGAGAAGAGAACGGCTATTATTTCTCGATCAAACCCCACCACCAGCATCCCAATCAGAGCTCGACCTCAGCCCTACCCTCCTCTTTCCCTCTCTCTCTCTCTTACACCACACACTCTCTCCTCAAACCATAGACAACTCGCCTACATCATAGCCACTCCTCTATCGCTTTGAAACTCTATAAAGAAGCAACAGGTATGAAATCTATATATATATATATATATATATATATATATTTGTATATATATGTTTTTTGATTTAAAAATTTTCAATTTCATTCTAAAATCGGGCATGGGCTTTGTATTTGGGATCCAGATTTCTCTCTCTGTGCATATGCTTTGTGTTGATTTGATTTCCATGTGTGTGTATATGTATTTTGCAGTCTTCAATTCAATTTCAGTATTGATTTCCCAATTGGGTCTTCAATTCAAGCTATCTGAAATCTTTCCTTTAAAATGGTTATTGTCCAAATATAAATACTCCAAGCTAGTTAGGTTCACAGCATCAGGAAGCATCGGACCATCCAAACTATTATTGGATAATGTGAGGAACCCTAAGGAGAAGCAACCAATTGCAAAATGTTGAGGTATTTGTCCTGACAAATTATTGTTAGACAAGTCTTACCTCCACAAAGAATGCAGATCACCTAATGAAGCCAGAATCCTACCTTCCAATTCCTTTCCGGACAAGTTTAAATAATTTAAGGGTAAAGTACATTGACACCCCTCGAGGTTTGGGGAAAGGACAAGCAGAGGAAAGTTAGCATGTTTTTGGACAATGACACCCCTTCAAGTTTGAAAAATGGACAAAGAGACCCTGAAAATGGTGAATTGACCTTATTACCCTTTCAAATAAAATTAATATTTTAATTGACTTAAATACCCTTTGATTAAACCCAAACCCGAAACCAAACCCGAACCCGAACCCGCCTGCGTATATTATACAGTTCACCAGAGGAGAGAGAAGGGAGATCAGATGGATGGTGGTTGTGGCCGCGGTGGTGGGTGTAGAGAGAGGGGGAAGAGAGGGGCGGCCATAGTTGAAGAGATGAGGTGAAGAGAAGAGAGAGGAAGAAGCATCGGCAATGACTGTAACAGTGGCGGTGGCGGCGATGACTGTGACAGTGGCGGCAAAACCCAGAAGCATCGGCGAAACCCTGAAATTGCCGGCGAGGACCAAGCTCCGATGACGATGCGGCCACGGACTGAATAGTGTGGCGAAGTTTAGAAACCGAGCAACAAGAGATCGACGAGCAAAAACAATCCGGCGAGGACCAAGCTCTGATGACGACAAGGTTCAGATAAGCACAGTCCGGCGACCGTCACCTGCAAGGCCGAGGAGGCTGAAGTGGGCATCGCTTCTGCCGTCCGTTTTGAGTCCAATTAGAGTCCTTTTCCGTGCGAAGGTGAGAATTGGGGATGGTGATGTGCACAGATGAGGGGGTGATATATATGTGTGTATGTGTGTGCGTGTGTATGAGAGAGGGGAAGAGGGTGGTGGCGGCGGCGGCACCGATCTCATCCTCAAATCTTCCCTGCAGGCTCAAACATCAACTCTCTACCGCTGTCAAGAATAAAAGACACCGGCATGGGGAACGTCTCTGTCAATCCCGGTCAAACCCGGCTTGTCCAAGGCCGAGTTCGCC